AGAGTTTAATTAGGTATTGGTTAAATATTATAATTTTTATAATATTAAGGACTTGTTTAGCAAATTTTGATAAGTTAAATTTAGATATAAATATCACATTATAGCCTCTCTCTTTCTAAGGAAGTTGGGAAGGAAACAAAATAAAAAAATTCCTTTTCTCTCTTGAGTGCCGCCACTATTGAGAGGTTTAATTTTACTTCAAGAACTTTTCCTTTGATCATTTGCTGGAAATCAAAGAAGGAAAGAGGACAAATCGTTGTCCACTCTCTAGCATAAGCTCGTGGATAAAGCTCTCTCCTTTGGAAGGATCCATTGCAATCATGTGTGCATCATGAGAGGCTAAGCAATTGAGTGGCTCAGATTTTTTCACACAAAAGGTGTTCACATTTTGTCACTAAAAGGAATCCATTTGATTATGATATCACTTGGAAAGGTAAAATTTTTTCTGATTTTATGTGGTACTTAACTTTGCATTAAACAACCAAGGTGATCCAAAGATAAGAGGCATGTTTTACTTTATTTCAATTTTTGTTATTCCCCTGTGTTGATGTTGTAATCATGCCATTCCTAGCAGAGATAAAGGGGGTGAGTCTTACAGACTTAGTGATCATCGGCTCTGTGAGCCAGGCATAGATGGGAAACAAGCTTAGAGTAGATAATTTGAAAGACTAAATCAGAGTATAAAATGATAACCTCATAAAACCAAATAACAAGTAAGGTGTTTATGCCTTGTAAAAATAATGCCATAAAATCATAATGCAATACTTTCCTTGGCAAAATAATGCTGAAAACCAACTGTAGTAAAATAAATTTCAATCATCGAAATAAGCTATTTCATTCAAAATTACAATAGTCGTATAAAAGCACTCACGCTCCCAAAATGTGTGGCATGTAAAAGTAATCGTGTACATCCACATACATCAACTCATGATCAATACATAAAGCACTGAAAGCTTTTAATTAAATAGGGGAGCTGTGGAAAAACATTAACTCTCCACCATGCAAAAAAGTGCAAGTCTAAAAACTTTCAAGGCTCTCGAGTAGTTAATCATAGATATCAACTTGTGGACCCTCTTCTATGTAATAACAACCTGGGAGGCCACCCTCCACTGGATTCTCATAGCCATAGCAGTCTCGACGACGTTGGCCAACATCGGAGAAATCATGTGGTCGCAACCACGTATATTAACTTGTGGCCTTTTCATGTATAACAACCCGTGGTCTTGCCACGTATAATCACAGATCGTATCCTAGCCACATCTAACAACCCGTTGACAACTCAAAGGTTCTCTAGCTAGAGCTCACTTGTGCATAAGGGTCCCATTATCCTGATGTAACATTCGACCTACTCTCGATACTATCAATTTGTCAAAATCGTTTTCAAAACTAAATCAAAGTTTCCAAGACTTTTGCTTTAAGTCAATTGAAAGCCAGGTTTGATAACCCTTCAAATTGCTTTCCACATTAAAATGCATGGTGTAAACATTTGCATAAAGATCGAACTAAAACCGGCTCTCAAAAGTTTGCAGTTAAACTATTTAACAAGTGCATTTAACTTTGCATGTCACACAAAGACACAAGGCACGAAATTGATATAAAATATTGCAAAAGGGCTTGTTTCTTGGTTTCTAAAACACTTTACACATATATATATATATAGTATACACAACAACTTCCAAATCCATTTACATCCATAATTGCCTATCTTTTCTACCAGTTTATGCTTTCCACAAAGACAGTGTAAAACCTCATAGCCTCGTTTAGAAGTTAATAAGTTTCTATTAATGAGAAGAAGGGTTATTTGACATAAATCT